GTATACTCGTCGGGAAATTCCTAGTTCTCAGGGCCACAGGACCATTATCTTGTCTCTTCGGGGATCTAACGGTTCTATTGCATGTCTATTATCGAATAGTTCGTGTTTTCTTCGTGCATAACAATTCTACTTATCGTCGAACCTTCCGTTATAAACATATTACTTGCAATTCAGTTTCTGTGGCGTATTATTGTAATTTATCATTGATTTAAATAAGCAATACAATTTTAATCAACTTTTTAATCTCGTCTGACCGTCTTACAGTTTATGTAAATTTGTATTGATATTTATTACGAGGATTGATATTTGTTATTAAAAAACTTACTAAATTCGGGACTATATTTTAATTCAATTTCGGCCATTTTAATCAAAGTTTAGTTTAACAAATTTTAACACTACAATAAAATATCAGTCTAAGAATATTTCGTTAAATAAATTTATGAAAAATTTTATTTTTAGTAATAATTCTTTACAAGATACAAAAAATATACAGATGTTATAATTCTTATGTTAAAATGGAGTGCTTTCAATTTTTATTTTAAAAAATTGATTGCTCTCGAAATAAAGTTTTTTCCAAAAAATAAAAAATATAGCAAAATCAGTTATTCGCTAATATTGAAATTCAATATGTACAATTTTACCTCCTAAAATTTTATCTCTATTTATAATTCTTCCGTTACAATACCTGTTATATAAATATTGGTTTAGTAGCTTTGAAAAATTATATTCGTGTCACGAATCCCTTATTTTTATATAATATCATCGTATCGTATGTAAATTACTCCCAATTATCAATACGTGTTAATTATCCCATTTTTCTATTTTATGATTCGTGTAATTGTTTCTAGATAAATATAATTTAAAAAATGGTGAATAATTATTGTCAAAATTATTAGCATGAGATGTGAAGAGAGTATTAATAGAACTAATACAAATTATGCAGCAGATATTTCATACATATGCAACACTAATAATAATACAAATTACAGTAACAATTTAATACAAATACCACAGTTAAAGAAGAAATTTTGTCAAAAGAACTGTTCTTATACATATTGCGTAACGTATACAAAATTTTTTCAAACCAGCAATCAGCACTTTCTATTTTTCACATACACGTGTCAAAAAAAATTTGCTTCTTTTTTTAAGCGAATCTCATTAAGAAGTTGAGAAATAAATAACAGCTCGTTAAAATAGTTTTGTCAAGGTAGTTTGCGATGTGCCAGTAACCTTGGCCTGTGAACCCTGATTTTACGAAGCTAAGCTAATAAGTAATTAACAAAGGATTACAATGTGAAGTATCATTTCATTAAATAATCAGAATTCTCTTTACCTATAAATAAGAAAAAAAGAAAAAAATCAGTTGCTTATTCTTTGTCGAAATAATTTTGCTACGTTCCTTTTCCCCTAAAAAATGACCAATTTACATAACATAATGGGATGTTGTATTACAATGAGAAAAATATTCATGACTGCTTTCCCAACCATATATAACCATGATATATAGCACGTAAGTAAATACTAAGTACTTGTGCTAACGAGTGGAGAAAGTGTAAGTGCTACTAGGATTCGTCGTACGACTCTTTTTCTTACTTCTGCTTTAAATTCCTTGCGTTGTTTGAAATTTCGTTTCCCTCAACCTTTAACCCGGTTATTATACTACAGGCCGAAATGACTTTCGTGACTCGTAAAAGAACCATTCGCACTTTCTATGGTGTCATACGTATCTTAAACTTTGATTTACAGCAGATATTTGCCGAAAGTTGCTTAAAAACGAAGGAAAGTCGTGTTGGTTCGAGCCAAAGAAAAAAAGAGAGGAAGAAGAAATAGTAATATGGGAGTAGATACAAACGAAGGGAAATATTGGATTTATTAACAAATTATGAAATATTTAATTTATTAAAAATAGGCTTGGGAAAGTACCATTATTATCAATTTTATTGGACTATTATATTTTATTACTATTACTATGAAGGTAATTAATTTTATATTGCTAATTAGTATCATGAATTTTATATTACGATTTTATTTATTAGTTACTACTCGGTACTATTAATTAAAATTTTAAGATTCTAATATTATAGAGGAATGAGTTACAAATATTTTTAAGGAAACGAGCTTTTGTGATGTCGTATTTTATAAGTAGTATAGTCCAGGATAAATCTTCCATTAAAATAGACGAAAATTCCAGAACTCAAAGAACATTGCGAAAATAAATAAAAAAAGTAGGACTACAATTTCTTTAAATATTTCATTTATCCTTTCAATATTTATTTTATCCTTGCACTTTACTATCGCTTCATTACAAATGCTTCTCATTCAGTTTCGCTTGGTCGTAAACTACAACATTTCTTCTTCTTCTCACATTTCTCAACACATCCTTCCATTAAAACACAGCGAAAAAAGATTCTTTTGAATTATAGCACGTATAAAGACCATTAGGCACCCGTTTTTATGATAAAGCGTTTTTTATTACCAACAATCAATAATATATTACCAAGATGTTTAAACAGAGATTCAAGAACATTTATCAGACATATATCATTTATAAAGATAATATTGCAAATAAATGGTACCATATTTACGAAATATTTTTGTAAACTGCTATTTGCTTCAAATATTTTAAGTATGAGAAATATTTTTCGATTGCTATTACGAAATTTATCCAAGTATATTGCAAGAAACGACTTCATTAGATAACTCTCGATGATGATACCGACGTAACCAAAATGGGATACGATAGATCCCAAAGATAGTTACGTAATATAAAGGACAAATAATTTTTTCCCCTTTCACAATGAAAGTTGCGTGAATACAGGCATCACTATCGTTCATAAGTAATCACGCGAACGTACATTCTTGAATCACTGCGGTTAGCACTTTAACTATCTATTAACGTTTTTGCAACATTGGGGATAACAGCACAATGGTCTATAAGAAGATAGTTTTAAACAGTGCTGCTCATTTATTTGCCATAGACCTGGATTTAATATTGCCTTCTTTCCCAAGTAAGGAATTTTATAATCATTTGATTATTCTACAATTTTTGTCTTCCAAAATTTCTTATGAAATCTATAATAATATATAGAATAATAATAAAGTACAAAATGGTAAAATATAGTTCTGCGCAAAATAATGATATTCAGCAATATGTGTAATAATAATATTTTACAATATATAAAATAATAATATATAGTACCAGATAGAATAAAAATATGGTAATATATAAATTAAAATTTATAGTAATATGTAGAGTAATAACACGTTGAACACTATGCCAGTCTCTACTAACAATATCAAAGCTGAAAAATAATATTTTACAACAAATTTAATATTAAAAAATATATTTATGTTTCAAACAAAAAATGAAAAGTCGGTTCCTGCCCATATTTTACTCATTTACTTTTATTTATGCACATACATATTTTCTGTAAACACTTGCCTCTATATAGAAATTAAAAATTATGAAAATACCAAAAAATATTATTCCATGTCTTCATATTAATGTTCGCTAAACTATTATTAGACCCTCGTTCCTCGAAGATAATGTGCAATATAATATTGCATATAACAATGTAATTACAATATAATGCTGCAGATAATCAGATAATTGCAATATAATGTGGCTCATAACATTTGCTTAAGCTTACATAAGCTAGACACCTGAAATTTCAACAAAATGGTTGTTCTCATTTCTCTGCATGATATACGGTAAACGCAGTTACTCGAGAATACCTGCAATTCTACAATGTTTTATGATTACAGCCATTCATTCGTGAAACTAAAGGTTTCAAAACAGCGTGAATCGTTGGGTCAGTCTGTTAAATAAAATGAAGTTTTACACAAGTCAGCAATCTCGGAACGTCCTTGATTACCTAACTGCATTACGTTTCTTTGTTATCTAACCATGTTCTCAATTAAATCTCGATATACTGCTGCTCTAGATCACGTTTGAAAAAGGCAATACCTTCACCTTGTACAAAGCGAACGGCTCATTCGGATCTACTTAACCATCTATAAACTTTATGCACAACTCTACGATGTCGAGAAACTACTTGTCGATTCAAAACTATCATAACGTCTGGAAATAAAGTATTGAAGAATGTTTTTGAAGCAAATTCAAGTTTTTTCTTGAAATGTTTTTAATGGTTTCAGAAAGTCTCGAACTACTCATTCAAATTTGATACAAGAATGATAATTATTGACAGGTATCAGTGTGACGGCACTCAAAAGTATTTCGAAAATAGACTGATTCGTAATTTTCCATTGGAAATCCCGAAATGGGATTTCTCTTCTTCTCTTCATTATATTTCTCTTAAACTATAAGACTATATCTTTAGTTGCAGTAACAGATTTAAGGGAAAAACGGTGTTTGCTGGAAAAAATTTTAAAATATTATATAAAAATATTAACCCTTTGCACTCGACGATTTTTTGGCTAGAGAAGAGTAGAAATTCAAAGATTCTCTACCAAAATACCGACGATACCTTTTTGAGCAGTAAATAAAGAATTATATAACAATAGAATTGTAGAATTATCTGATGTCGATACCTCGCACACTGTTACATTACATTAAATTTGATATATTAATTAATACCGATCTTCCAAATTTTATGAAATGGTGACTGTGAAGCTCACCTCTCGAGTGCAAAGGGTTAAATAAAAATTCAGTAGCTTCAACTGAAAAGAATGGTATTAAAAACGACTATTCAAAATTTGAAGTAAATCGGATGAAGATTAATTTAGTTATTCATCTGCTCACTTTGAGAAACACAGTTTGTATGTATTTATCAAGCATCTACTTAATCACGAAATCATCCAAGTCTCTTTGTTCCCTCTGCTATACTTCACCCGATGTTACCTATTCGCTCAATGATCCCATTTACGAGACTTTAATGACCAATAATTGAACCGAGGTGCTACTTCCACTTAATCACAACTACTCCAATTTCATTTAACAATTCCAAATAACTCAGCGAACATCTCTTTCTTCGTTTCAGGAAACTACTCTTCGGCGATAAAAACCCGAGACTGCTGAGCGAAAATCACGGATGATCATTGACATCGAGAATCAAGAATAGCATCATCGTGATCCAACGGAAGCGGTCGTGAAAGTGTAATTCGGGTCGGTAACGAGTGGCAAAGAAGATCAGTGAAAAAGAGATCGAGGCAAAATCGAACTCATTTCAACGGGAAAAAAGTGTAACATGCTTGTTGACTGTGTTTTAAGGACAGATCGTGTGTATCTCCGGAAACGATGCTCGGAGAAGTGACGTGAAGCAATACTTTCGAGACGTAACACATCGTAGATTATCTATAACGAGATTTCTACGGTGCGGCAACGATAAACAGAGCACGAATTACCCAATTAACTTAATTGCCGTGAGTCTTAACAGTGAGACACAAGCTGTATCGAGTAACGGTGTTATCGCTTTCGTGATCAGCAGACATCGTTGATGAGGACAGGATAAGGTCTCTTGAATTTGGCAACCTAGACAAAGGATCACGTCTGTCACCTGGTCAGAGTGGCGATCGTAAATCAAAAAATTTGAAATTGACGGCAATTTGGAGATTCCAGTGATTCGCGTTAGATTCTCTCGAAACAAAGTTCAAGATGAAGTTCATAGGATCTCTGCTTGGGATCAGCTCGCCCAAGAAGATGGGCAAGGAGTATATGAAAGTGGGGAGAAACGCTCTGTTCGGCCCGAGGACCAACCAGGATGGCCTGTACACGGACAAGGTACCTGGACCTTTGTCTTTCCTCATTTCGAAGAACGGGAAACTTAAGCACGGTAAGATGGTATTCTCGTGATTCACGTTATCTGTATGGTCCCGTTACAATCGTGATGAAGTAATGCTCCGTTCGGAAGACATTAATGCATGTACTCCGCCGTGAAGGTATAGTAATTAGAATTGCAATTCCGCGAGATAGGGATGTAGATTGTTCTTGAAATTTAAATACCAGGATAATTGCGGCTGTAGTCAGGTTTCGATGGTACGGAAGCGGTAAATTTGGGTAAATGAAGGAGTACAGAGAGTGTTTCGGGGCTAGAATGGACGGAAAACTCTGTGGCTGTAAGGAAAAGCGTGTCACATATTTCAATTCTCTGGATATTGGCGTTTAAATAATTGCCGAAAATATTGATTCTTCTTATTCGCATTTGTTTAAATTGCATTATTTTTTCCGATCGTATAAAATTTCTTTTTATTAGCTTCTCCTGGAGAAATACTTAAATCGTACGTTTTGTAACGTAATTAATAAATAAACTAGAAACTTTTAAAATTGCGAAAGGCAGTATTTTCCTTTGCAACCACGGAATTGCAGGATTCGTATAAAAAACGAGTCTTGTCGATGCTATTGTTTTCTTAAAAGAGAAAGAGAATGCACTAGCATATTCAATTTGTTTTTATAAAACACCTCTATAAATTTTAAAACGCGTTAAAAAATGTTTTAGACCAAAATTGCACTGTCTCGAGAGATACATCGTTCGAAAAATTTTCATTTCAACTTTATTATTATTTTATATTTTTTATATCAAATTTTATGAAAAAGCGTTGAATTCTTTTTAAATAATCAGCTCAGTTATTAGAGTGCGTAATTAGTTACGAACTTAAAAAATTCTACAAGACTCAATTTCAACGAGTCCATCGGTTGCAATTAGGGGATTTGGATGATTTTATCGCTGACGATGAGTATAGCTTTTGTTAGATTAGGTATGGGTCGTGCCATGAAGTTTTTGCACAACTTTGCACTGTGTGCAACGGTTCACGATTTCTAAATATCGAAATACCGAAACTATGGCAACTGTTATAGGATTTTTAGTTTAATCGTGAAAGTTCATATGGAATACAATTCCAATTGTTTCACTTGAAAGTGAAATGAATTTCAGAGTATTAAAGATTACGCGCTCTACGCATTGCGTAACACGGAATTCCAAACTGGAAGTAATAATTTCTACGCGGTTTCCATTGTAATTATTATAGATTTCTCCCTTTTTAACATGACAGTACCAGAAATTTCTTTCAAAATTTATTTCATACGTAACAGCTACTGAATAATTATTTATGAAACTTTATGTATATTTGTTCAAGTTAAATTTATGTCAGTTAGGAAGAAATAATTTCGCGAAATATTTCCTGGCTCCGTTAGAAAGTACTCTAATTTCATTCTCAATTTTGATAATATTTGCATTGAATGAGTAGTGAATTTCTCTTTTCGTTAACATTCTTCCGCTATTGTGGAAAAGATTAAGAGTGAGTCTTGACAGAAAAATATTACTATTGTACTCTTATGCATATCTGCAAAATTGTTTCAGCTTTAAAATGGAACTATATAAGTTCATGAATTAATTACGAAAACTTGGTGATTTCTTAATTACCCATTGCCAAATTGATTTATCAGGATGCATCAGAAGCAAATAACCAGAGTTAGTAAACGATTCAAATTCAAGCGCCTTTGATCAGCGCAAGGAGGTCGTCTAACCTGGTCACGCGATAGACAAAGATAGCAAGCGGTTAGAAAAGGATAGAATGGCTTTTTCGTGAAAAATTAACAAATTACTCAATTTCTGCGATTAATTTATGAACTTTTATAATTTCATCGTAAAGCTAGAACTATAGACAAAATTCTGAATCATTTTTCATTAATAATTTGTGCCTAATTACCATGCTATTAATAATTATTTAAAGACGGGCGTGATTTCGTAATATTGACCGCCATGGTTTTTCGTGAAAATATTTAATACTGAACGAAACTAGAAGCAAAATGTGATCAAAAGTTATATGAGAAGATTCGCAAAAACATTGTTTTTATAATGAGTGCACAAAGTTTTAAAAATTAATTGCGCAAAGGATAGTAATTAATGAGCAACCAATGGCGTCTTCGACAACAATTCAAACACTCCGTAGAATAATAATTAATAATTAATTAATTAGGGACAAATTTCTTTCGAAAAATATATAGGAAAGTTCTTGAAGGATCTGCCTTTACGAGGCAATTATAAAAGTCCATAAATTAATCACAGATATCGAGTAATTAGTGAATTTTCCACTGCCGATTTGATTTATTAAAATATATACGGAGCACATAACCAGAGTTAGTAAACTGACATCAGAGCCATCTATGATGTTAGACTCGAAGCTCGAGTTCTGCAGCGAGAGGATAGATGGCTCCGATGTCAGTTTACTAACTCTGGTTATGTGCTCCGTATATATTTTAATAAATCAAATCGGCAGTGGAAAATTCACTAATTACTCGATATCTGTGATTAATTTATGGACTTTTATAATTGCATCGTAAAGGCAGATCCTTCAAGAACTTTCCTATATATTTTTCGAAAGAAATTTGTCCCTAATTAATTAATTATTAATTATTATTCTACGGAGTGTTTGAATTGTTGTCGAAGACGCCATTGGTTGCTCATTAATTACTATCCTTTGCGCAATTAATTTATGAAACTTTATGCACTCATTATAAAAACAATGTTCTTGCGAATCTTCTCATATAACTTTTGATCACATTTTGATTCTAATTTCGGTGAGTATTAAATATTCTCACGGAAGAACGTGATGGTCGTCGTTACGAAATCGTAGTCGCCATCAAACAAAAATTAATAACTAACAATTTAGAGTTAAATTCTTTACCAATATTATATAGGAATACAGCCTGCAGTTCCAGCTTTGCAATGAAATTATAAAAGTTCACAAATTGTTTACGAAAATTGAGTTATTAATAATTTTTCTCTGTCAGAGCCCTTATATCCTTTTCTATCCTCTCTCTGTCATTGTCTATCACGTGACGAGCTCGTCGACGACCTCCTCGCCTATTCTATATTCCTATCACTTTCTTGATTTTTGAGCCCAAATCATAGATGGCGCTGATCGAAGGCGCTTGAATTTGAATCGGTTATTATCCTAATAAATTAATTCGGCAATGGAAAATTAACAAATCTTGAGTTTCAGTAATTAATTCATGAATTTTTTTAGTTGCATCGCAAAGCTGAAATTATAGGTAACATTTTTTTGTCATTTTCGAGAATAATTTGATGCTAATTAATTTGTTATTAATAATTAATTGAAGGTGTACGTGATTTCGTACCAACATCCGTCATGATCTTTTAAGAAAATATTAAATAATGGACAAACTAAAAGTACAATGTGGACAAAAATTTATGAGAAGATGTCCAAGGATATCCTTTTTATAACGTGTGCATGAAATTTATAAATTGATTGTATAAAAGATAATAATTATTGTCAAACTATCAATGCCTTCAGTATCAGTTCACATCCTTTGTGTAATAATTATTAGAAATTATTTAATTAAAAGGGAATTAATTTATCCAGTATTATCAAAGGCGTCAAATGCATAGAAGAAATAAGTACGTATAATTACCTTCCTATCCGAATGAAATCAATATTAACTTTTGATACAACTATAAATTTGCAATATTTTATGCATGAGACCACTTTGGTAATTCTGATATTAAAATGAATTAAACACTTGGTACAAAGATTATGCTGTATCATTTATTTAACTATACTATACAAAACAAAACTTAATCTGTTATATTTATTGGGTAATTCTTGCAGAATTGGCTTTCCTTGGAATGAATCTGCAAACGAAATTATTTTATCATTCTCAGATTTTGAAGAATATTAGTTTCTTTAAAAATGCGTAATTTATATGAGATCTTTCTCTTACCCACCTTCAATATGCAGTTGTACTCATTGCTTTTGCTGAATTATTATTGCAAAATAAAAAATACAAGGGTGCAAAATACACAGCTTCTACCCACAATTTTTTTTCCATTCCAGTCGTACAACAGTGCTCGTGTCTTATCCAATAATGTTTGATTAAGCCTTTCCATTCAGTTGAAGTGTGTACAGTGTCGTATAATCTAGTATAATTACTTTCTGGTGCACGAATTCTTGAATTCTCGACTGGTAAACACTCCTGCTTCCATTATCGCATCTAAATCTGTATGTTATTCCACTTTGCTTCTACTGCTGTAACATACTTAAACAACCTCCATAAAATTTGTCATATTCCATAAAATATATCAGCACAAAGTTAGTAAAATCTAAAACTGTTATCACATACTTATTTCTGTTCCATGTCTTTGATTCTATAGGCCCACACATATATTAGAATGTATAATTTCTTGCTGCCCTCTTGCTCTTGTTCTTGGCTATCAAAATGGTGCCTTCAATTGCTTTGTACAGAAAAGTATCCTGCAGTCTCCAATTCTTGTCTTTCGTATTCTTTTTATTACTTTTATTCTCAATGCTTCTTTGGACAACTCTTTCATATTCCCCATACGTAGATGGCCCAATTTTCTGCACCACTCTGCCAGCTTCTTGTTTCTCTCTACTGGTATAAGGTCCATTATTAAAGCTTTTACCAATGAATATTTTTTTTTCCTTCTTATAAACTATTACTTCATTTACCTTACACATTTCGAGTTATCAGATTTACTGGCAATAAATTCTGTCACAAGTGTAAAACATATAAACCATATTTAAGTATACAGCTATCTGGCTCAACTCTAAATTTCACTTTTGTTTCCATGGAAATATTTTTTTATACCAATCTAATTTCTATTCTTATTTCTTCCTATTTTATAAAATATTCTAGTTTATTGACCATATGGTTTATTGTTCTCAAGTCCAAAATCCATTAGTTTGTTCCATCGCTCTTTGTCAAGAAACAGACTTTCTTCTTTTATCTGGATCTCCTTTCTCTTCCATCATGCTTCTAAAATAACAATCCAAATGATGTTTTCCAAATAATTAA